TGAGCACACATGTAATTCAATCAAGCAAACACACCAGAAGAAAAAAAAAACAAACTACCTTCGTTAAACATGGTAGAGTCAGCAAAATCACTTCCTTTGGCAAACAAACTCTCGTGAGAATCCTCCTCTTGTTTCCCATGACCTAAGGGTGAGTAAGTGGGTAACGAAAAATCCTCCCCAAACTCATCAAAGTCACCTTTTTTTGGTGATTCAAGAAAAGGGTACCCTGAAAAAAGGGAATTTGAACAAGGTTTGAGGGTTGAGCGGTTGAGGGTGAAGGGTTTGGCCAGTGGCGACAAACGTGTGGTCAACGAGGTAACATGCTTGTTCTGATTCTTCATCATCTTTCTTCTCTCCTTTGCAATTTGGAAGTGGGAAACTGAACAGAATACAGAAGAAGAGTGTGAGAATTCCAGAGAGTGCAAACTCAAAGGCTGTGAGGATACTGACTTGGGAAAAAGTGTATACCTTCGTTACCAAGTAGTGTGCAGGCCCCAGTTACCCTCTCTCTCTCTCTCTCTCTCTTCTTTTTCGGTTTTTGTTGGATTTTTGTAGTTATTGCTAAATTAATTTATTGGAAATAGTACTTCCAGGAAGGTGAAGAAGAGAAGTCCCAGAAACTTTTTTTTTTCCAAATTTTGTTTCAGTGTATGGAATAGAAATAGAAATGGAGGAATTATTTGTAATTTTTCATTAGAAATGAAGAAATTAGAAAAATTCTGTTGGTATTAACATTTTTAATTACAATTGGCATTTAATCTTGATAACCGATACTAATTTTAATTATTAACATCAAAATAGAAAAAATGTCAAAATTTTTGGAAAGTGATAACTATTAATGCACTTAAGTTCGCTTCTTTTTTATAATATCCCATGTTCCCTTTATAATAAAGAAAGCATTAAATTTATCTTATCCAATTATGGTGAGAAAATAAAAGTATATGAAACTATAATTTAAGAATATTTCAATTCAATTATGTATATCCTTCCTCTTCTTTTTTTCCTTAAAAAAGTGCATTTCATTTCATGTAAAGAGTTTATTTTGTCTAGTTCATTTATCACTCATGTTGTTATCAAGCTATTATTTCTACTACTGCAAAAACATTAACGTCTCGGCAAAAACATTAAAATGGTACAATTTTGTACTCAAAATTATTAAAATGATACCATTTTAAAAGTAGAGAAGTAATATAACTTCATTATAAACAAAATAGTGTAAAAATTAAAATTTAAAATTATAATACATTAAAGTTACACCAATACTTTGGTTAAATTTATCAAATTTATTTATTAATCAATATTTGTAATCTTTTAAAAATTAAATTTTTTTTAATAAATTTAAAAGAAAAATTACACTATTTTTATACTTTTGTGGCTACCAAATTATAGGTTCTTGTATTCTTAAAGTTTCTGTAAAACTTGAAATCCCCTGCAAATCATTTGGGGTAAAAATTTAAGTTATTAAAAAAATCTTACAACAAACATTAGTAGAAGAGAAACTTCATTTTAATCATTCATGTTTATAGATTCTTCACTCCCCTCTCCAACTTGTTAAATGTGCTTTATAAATTTAGGGTTATTTGGAAGATATTAAAGTGTTTACTCTAAATTACAACACCCATTGTAGCTTCGTCCTTACCAAATTTTTATTTTTTACCCATATTCAAAGGGTGACGTTGGGCTTCCCAAAAACCCAAAATGGTTGATTTTGGGCCCTTGATGGACTGAATATCTTTACGCAAGTCAATTACTACTATAGATGTTTCTGGGTTTGGATGGTGTTATATTGGTTGTTTACTTTATGAAGAAGTGAGGTTACGTAATGTTTCTGACTAGGTTCTTTAATTTTTATCTAAAAAAATGGTTTAATTTCTGGGATTAAATAAAAACCACTAATATGTGGAGTTGCAAAAGTATTTGATAAAAAAAAATTCTTTCAATAATTTTAATTTTTTTACAAATTTGTTAATTCTCTCTCTTTTTATTAGATAAAAATATTCAATATTTATTTTAATATATTATGTACATTTTGTTTGAGATATTAAATATCTTTATTTTTTATTCAATATTTGTTTTAAAACATTGAAAGAATCTGTGAAAGGAATATAAAGTTACTCTGTCTCTTTGGATGGAAGATTTTATAAGCCTACTCTTTTATACCAATATTACTATGTTGTTTTTTTTAAGATAGATAAATGTTTTCTATTTAAAATATTTGAAAAGTCTATAAATTTTTTCACAAACTAAATTTGTGTATAAATTTTTTATTTATATATAAGATGACTTGTACATTAAGTCACAATAAATTTATTATACGAAGCAATTTACAATTGCATTACATTGGCTTTTTTATATGATTTACATGTTTTTATTAAATTTATATAAAAAAATTTAAGGTATTGAATGTTTGAAAGTGCTTTGATAAAATTAGAGCACCTGAACACATAACATGGTTGTGTTTTGTATATTCATGAGGAAGTTAGGTAGATCACTCACAAAGAACCATTATAGTTCAATATGCAATGATTTCTTAACTTTAGTGATGTGGAGGATGTGATGTTTGATCATACTTCGGAAAATGAACATCATGATTACAATGTTGTCTCATGCATGCTACTTGAGAGCTCCCATAATTATTGTGGTAATTGAAATTATAACTACAATAATAACCATAGTTTAAAAATTAACAAGTAATGTAGACAAAGCAAAGAACATGGACGATAAATTTATAAGAAACACTCGTGAAAATAACAAGTTCTATCATTTTATGCTATTTTTAAACAATTTTTTAAGTTTTATTTTAATTGTCATTTTTATAATAAAATATGTCTCTAAAGAAAAATAAGATATCAATACTTTTACTAAAAAAATGGTTACCACGAATATTATAATATATACTACCGAAAGTTTTAAAATCCATTCAAATTATAAAATTAATTAATTTTAAATATATTTTAAGAATTTAAAATTATTCACTCTCTACCATAATTTAAACTTATGTATCTATTTTGTTATATTATTTTTTATTCATTCTCAATCATGATATTATTGACTTTCGGCTGGTCCAAATGTCATTAACTTAATTGAAGCATAGGTTTTGTAGGTTCAACATCATTTTTTCCTTTGTTTGTCACCATTAATATTTTATTTGTACACTTACCTCGGCTAGAAAGTTTTTATTTACATCAATAGTGTATTGTTAATTATTTTAAATACGTCTTTATTTTAACTAATGTTAACCAGTATTATTATTTGAGATTGTTTTGGAAGTAGTTAAAATGTAGGCTAGAGTTTTTTTAACCAATGTTAATTAGATTTCTCTTAAGTATCGATAAAATTGTTTTAAGTTTGATGTTAACCAAGTTTTTTTTTTTTATCGAAATTAGTACAAGAAGTTGTAACTTATTTTGAAGTTATAATTCTTTTATCGATGTTAATATGAATATTTTTTTGGTTGATATTTCCAATATTATTTATCTTTGAATGTAAGATCAACTAAGATGTTTGATATAATTTTATAAGTCAATGTTAATGTGTCTTCTTTTAAGTAATTGTTGATCGCATTTTGTTTTTTTTATTGAAGTTTCTACCCGTTATCTTTTTTTTTTCACATACTAATTATTTTTTCAATCGAAGTTTCTAATACTATTTGAAAGTAATTTTTATACTTAGTGGTAATTAAACACCTATTCAAATAAAATTAAAATTCAATGAACCTTAAATTATTTTATTTAAATACAATATTTAAAAGACTAAGTAATTTGAAATATGAACAACTTGTTTTCTAAATATTTGTTTTAAAAAATAATAAATTTTTATACACCTTTAAAATTAATTTGTACTTTTTTAGCATTCATACTTAAATCGCTCAAGTAGAAGGTATATATACTTATAATTAAGTTATATTTTAAATAAACAACATCAATAATAATATATCAATTGATGGTAGATTAAGCGACACTTGTAAAGTTAAAAATTATACTACAAAAATATAATAGTTGAAACGAATATATGATAATAAAAGTGAATTCAAAACGTACGATGAGATGCAATTTCTTAAGTACAATTGATTAGAATTATTTTCAAACTACCCAGAGTTAGGAGTAGGACAAGGATACGTTATTATACCTAAATAAGATTCCATGTCTTGCACGTGAGGCAATGGTGGTTCCATGTTTACATGTTCATAAATATGTTGGGTTATAACTGATGGATACAGGTAGCAGAAAACGCCTAATTCTTTCAAATTCGTTTTGATATGTCTAAGATTATGTGAATTGAGACAGTTTCTTAATTATAAAAATATTATATTGTATCATCTCTCATATTAAATGAATCCACCCTTCTCTTATCTAAAGTCCCCCGACAAAATTAATATGTTATTAACCTAAAACATAAATGTTCAAAAGTCAGTTAACATGTTACAGAAATATATTTTCGTATAACCATTTTTTAAAATCATTAACTTTCTGAAAAATAACTTTGAGTGCACTTTTTTTAAAAGCCAAATCCTAGTTATTAAAATCATAATAAATGAAATAAGTTGATATATGAAAATTCAAATTCATGTAATTTATATCAAGTTTCCGAAGAGTCGAGAACATTACCGGGTGAGCATCTATCTCCTCTTCCCTGTTATTTTCTTGTTTAAGCAATGGGATATTACAGATAAACAGTGATAATGACTTGAAAATGAAGCTTTTCTCGTTAACTTGAGAGATGACAGTGAAGTTGTGAGAATCGATTTTTTAACATTATCACCACCAATTCTATATTGTGTTATGCACACTGCTCAACGTCCTAGCATCACGTCGTTCACTTTAAAAATACATTCATTATTACATTAAAGTCGTGTAAAGTGTTGTAATTTTTTGCAATAATAACTCGACAAGAAAAAGGAATTATTTTACCAATCATAGTAACTGCAGATATTTTGTTCAGCTACAGATAATAGAAAAATTAACAGAGAAAGAAAGACGGAGTATGAAACATGAGAAAGGTTAAACGAAACAGAATATACGATTCCAGTGTTAATAGAAAAGATCTGAAATTTACAAAATTGGAACAGTGACGGTGAAAGGAAAATGAAGAATCCTAATAGGAATGGGTGGGAGGGGGTGGAATGGTCCTAGGGTGAGAAGAAACGAAGGGAAGGGTGCGGAGGATGAGAAAACGAACCCGTCGAGGGATAGGGGCGGAACGGAACACCTGCTCCACCACTCTTGCCAGCAACGCCGTGTACTCCTCCAGCACTTCCGCCACGATCGACACCAATATCATCTCTTTCACTCTCTTTTTCAACACTTAATTTGGCTTCCGGTGGGTCGGGTTGAGTTTGTATTCGGAAACAGACACTGAGTTATGAACGAGATTTTTTAGTTTAAATAAGAGATGTTGGAAGTGAAAAAAAGAAAGAAGGGAAGGTGACCTGGGTAGCCTGTAGTATTGGAGAGTATGGTTGGAAATAGATAATAACAGCGGCGCAGTCACTCCTCCAAAAGCGACGAGTGGTAACCGGTTTCCAGTTTAGTGTTTCAGTGTGCTTTTGATTTGGTTCAATGTCTCAATCTTATCTTCTCACATACCTTTAACATTTTATATTCCTCTCCAGTCTTCGGAAAAAAATAAACTAAAATAAAACAACTTATCGCCATACGACGATTTCTTTCCGTCTCTTGTTCCACGTTACAACCTAAATATCTGTCAATCATTAGTTCATTCTCTGTACATAATTCGAGAAAAAATTACTTTCACCAACTTTTGCTTATACAGAGTTACTTTTTACAAGAAATATTTTCTCAGAAGTATCCTAACTGAGTATTTGTTTCAATTTTAAGAAAATATTAGTGTTTCTATTGATTTAAAAAGTTGTTTTCAAATTTTTTAAAAATTAAAATGATTTTCGTTTTGAAATTTTCTTAGATTGATGTACAGTGTTTTTTTTTTCTAACAGAAGATTGATATTTTGAGGATATCCTAACTTAACAAAAAAAACATCTGTATAAAACACAAATTTTAAGCGAAAGATAAATATCTTCTACAAATAAATGTCAGAGTTTTTCATTTAAAAAAAAAATTTTAATGTCTCGGTAGGTCCCTATTTTCGGCGTAAATCTCAAATAGGTCTCTTTTTTTTTCGGCGTCTCAATTGGGTTCTTTTTATGTAAAATTGAAGCAATTACGGGTAACAAACGGCAGTTTAAGTTTGCCTACGTGTTATTAAAAATGAGTTTGAATTGATTTTTGTATTAAAAAATGGATTGAGCAAACGTTCTTCAAGGGCAAAAAAAGACAAACTGGGCAAACCCCTTTTCTTCTTTTCTTCTTCGATTGGAAGCGCGGAGGGGAAACACCTTTTCTTCTTCATAACCCTAAAATCCTAAGGGATATGCACAAAAAGGAAAAGAGAGAAACACCTCTTCCTTCAACCTCCAATGCGGCAGTCCCTACCCTCCGTCGCGCCTTCCTTTCGTTGGCCAAGAGTGTCGTCGACGACGCCACCCACGCCGGACGGAGCAGCCCAAACTTCGACCTCCTTTTCGTGCGCGAGAGAGAAATCTCGTCTCTCCCTGCGACGTTGCCGGCACGAACCAGTGGGTAATTGGTGGGTGATTTGTCCTGTGATACATGTTACAACTTCAATGGAAAATCTAAATTGTTGTTTGTGGTGTTTTGAGGAGGGTATCCGGCTATTCCAGGAATGGCTCTGAGGTCATATTCGGAGTCGTCGTTGAAAACACGTGAGTTGGAGGTGAGGATGGAGGAAGAGTGGTAGGGGTTTTCGATCAAGAAGGAGGAGGGATCTAGGATGGTGTTGGTGGGTTCGGGGTTGAGTTCGACCAACATGCTTTGGACCCATGAATTCTATAATTATCATTTTCAAAGTCATTCATAGTGATTGATTACAATTGATTGAGATTGAAAATGTTTTTACATTTGCCGTCAATCCAAATTAAATTTTGCTGAAAAAACACAAATGAGTGATAAAATTTTCTTCCTAATGAAGAACTTTCAAGATCATTCTTGAGCAAGTTGCTGATGGTGTGATAGGAACATCCTCTCTCTACTGCCGCAGTCATTACCTACTTGTTTGTGGTTCATATCTCTTGGATCTTTTACCAGTCTCATCCCACGATCTCCAAGAAGGGGAAGAAGAATAAATTCCACGGCTTCAACTGCACATGACCCAAAACAAACTCCACCGGAAAAATAAATCCTAAACCAGCTCCATTGACGAACATGCCGACGCCGCCACTACTACAGCCCACCAACGACGATGAGAAGGACGATAGCAGCAGAACGCTGAGAACTCTGAAAAACTGTGTGGAACCTGTTAATTCGGCAATGAAAACGATAAGAGGGAAATGGGAGAAGAAAATAGGGAGATCCGTTCGGCCAACATGCTTTGCCCAGTTTGCCTTTCCCTAAATCTGCATCCACATTTGTGCAATCCAAATCTTTAATACAAAATTCGTTTTTAATGCACATCAGATTAATGAATACACTGACTATACCACGGAGGCCAAACTTAAACGGCCGTTTGTTCAATTTGACGGCAAACCCTTAATTGCTCCAATTTTACACAAAAAAAAAAACTCAATTAAGACGCTGAAAAGAAAAAGGACCTATTTAAGATTCACGCCGAAAATAGAAACCTACCAACACATTAAACCTAAAAGAAAAAAACGTGTTCCAAAAACATTGAATCTTTCACTCTGGTATTACAGAAAGATAACGAAGGAAGATAACGTCAATAATTGCTTTTTTTGGTAAGATGTTTATAAAGACTTTTCAGAAGTATTAAGGAATCAAATTTTAAAATAAAAGAAAAATAATATTTATACTTGTAGAAGTATTAAATAAAGAGATTAGATCAAAATATATATATGCAAATTTAAAATAAATTTTATTTTTATTTTTAAAACAACAATCTTTTTCAAACTTAAACTTCTTAAATTTCCTTTATTTTCTTTTAAAATATTTTTAGTCATCTTCTTATTCTTTTTTAAGTCAGTTACCAATAGAAGATAAAATAGAAAATCCGTTAAATTTTACCTATTAAAACTTTTGATGTGAGAATTTTTTTATATGTTTACTTCTTTATTTATTTTTTAAGTATATGATTAAATTTGAAAACATTAATATATGTTAGTTCAAGTCTACATCAATATGTTTGATTTTCAAATCAGATTTTTTAAAAGAAAGTTAAGACTTTTCAAAAGTTTCTCTTTTGTGCTAAATAATTTGTTTAAGAGTATGTGATTTTAAGTTAAGATAAGTTTTTTCATTTTTATATATTTTTGTTCATTGATTAGGAAGTTTACTGATAGAGATTGTTTGTGGATGAGTTTGATATATGAAAACTTCAACAATATAGATTTTATATATTGTTTAATTAAGTGACTAGATATCCTTTAAGGAAGTTCAATGCTTAAACCAGAAATGATTGTAGAGAAAGTAGTATTTCTCTACAACCTTAATTACGTGGGAGAAATTTCGTAACAATTGACAACTCATAAGTATTAACTCAATTTATTAAATTATAAGTATTTGATGAAATACAAGATAGATGTAAATTATATAAATCAATATTTTAATACGCTATTAATTTTTTTATTTTATTTTATTTTATTTTATTGACAAAATTCAATTTGAGATTATTTTCAAGTTTAACTTTTAAACCTTTAAACTCTTTTAATATTTTCTATAAATAAAATTATACTAATTATATTTATTTTACTTTCCAATGTACCATATTTTTTGTCTTAAATATTTACATTAATCCTATTATAACACTTTGGATTAATAGAATCGTTCTACTAATTAGTATTAAGCATAATAGCTACAATATTTTTGCAAAAATACATCTTTTAGTTTAAAAGTTCTTTTTAAGCTAAAAGTATTTTAACTGTATACGACTAATTTATTTTATATAACTTTTTGACGATGTATAAAATAAATTAAAATATTGAAGTACAAATGTTAAAATTTTTTGGAATGTCAAACCTATTTTAATTAATAAGTTTTTAGTTTTAATGATGGTTTTTCAGATATTATGATTAAATTTTAGTTACAAATAATAAAATGTTTAATTTATTATATATTCTAAATATTCAAATAAATGAATTTTTTTGAAAATTTAATAATATTAAACTACTACATGAAACATATTCTACAAATAATCTATAACTATTATATAAATGATGAGTGATTAACTGATAAGATATTATATAATCTACATGGTTGATTATAGAGAACACTAATACTTCAACAACTTAAGAGAATATGGAAAGTAAAATGAAAAGAAGAATGTGAAAGATGGTGATGGAGGGTTCAGAAGATTTCGAAAACCAAGAAGTTGTTTAAGTGTGTACGTAAAGTTTCCATGCAGAAGCAACGATTCTTTCCCGTGGAAATGGTAAGGACTGAAGCATGGCAGATAAACAAGTATAACAAGTTAACTCATTGCCAAGCAATTCCAATTCTTTCTTTAGCTTATTTTTCTGCTCATTCAAGTCATTCCACACACTTTAAGTTATTCGCACAAGAACTTAACTATAACTCTTTCGCCTCTTGCAATATAAATAAATCATGTTTTCAACTCTCTTACACACTTTTGTTGTTGAGCCAGCCATGCCTTCAGAATCAGCTCAATCTCCTCCTGCGCAAGGCGACAAACACAAAAGTTTGGACACTGAAATCAGAAAAATGGTGTCTGCAATCACTCATCGTGTCACTGATAACAACTCCACCCACCATTTGGAGAAGGAGGATGAAAATGACACCAGGATCATTACCCTTGCAGGAACCAACGATGGAGCAACACTGCGAAGTGAATTAGATGAAAAATCAGGCAAAACTAGTGTTGGTGAGTCTGAAGCATTGACCACCTTTATCAACAGCAACTTCCAAGCCGTCAACAATTCCATCATGTATGGCGGTAGCTACCACGCTAATGACCCTGGTGTGCATTTCGATATCTCAGATTTCATGGATCAAGCTCAACCTCCTCAAAGCCACCACCACAAGGCTGACAAACCTGCTGAAAAGAAGGGAAAGAAGAAAGATAAAGAAGCTTCCAAAAGTGACCATCAATCTCGCTTCTAATGCAAAGGAATAAACATCTTTTGTCAATCTTAAACCTCTGCTCCATGTTTGCTTCAATAACCATATGTTTTCCTGATATGATTTTTGGATTATTTATGTTCTTTTCTTTGTTAGTTCACTCATATTTAAGATCTTTATGTGTAAGTAAAACTGTAATCTTCGTGTTAATGATATATATATATATATATATATATATATATATATATACGGGT